GAGAGCTTCCTTGCCGGTGCCAGGCTTTCCTCTCCCGGCTGCAGGGTGTGCGACGCCTCCCGGCAGCGATCCGGCAGCGGGACCAGTGTGTACGGGCTGTAAAAGGCTTCCCAGAGGGTAAACTTGCTTGTGACAAGCAGTGCTAACCCTGAAAAATTAGAAATTGTATTTTGCATTTCCATATCTTAACAGTTGAAACTCACAGTCTACCTTTAAACGTATTGGTCACGCTGTATACACCATTAACTTGACTAATGCATGGTTCTTCACAACCACTGCCTTTTTCCTTCCTCCCAGACACTCCAACTTGTAAGTACCTGGTGGTGCAGGTGACTTACGCACTCTTAAATGCAATCAAGTAAAAAGAAACTTTCTTCCAATTTAAGTCTTCCAGTTCTTTTCACTGTGTTCTTCTCTGTCACACACACGTTCTCGCTGATAACTTACATGTCGAGATGGTAGAAAGTTGAATAAAGAGAACGTCTAAAATTTCTTTTACCTCTCAAAAGTTAACAGATAAGATTTTGATGCTTTGTCTTAGCTTCATGTTCTTTTTCATAAGCTGTTTATACATTATTAGCTTTGTTACCACTAATAGTTTAAGGTACATTTCATAGCAATAAGTTGCGCTTGTGCTGTATAGGGACCTTGATATTAACTGCTTAAAGGAAAATCAGCGTAACAGATGAGAGTAAACAATTGTTTTAACTACAGGTCAAATTCTGAGCCTAAGCCAATGAGACTATCCACAATTCCAACTTTTAACAGCTATAATCATCACAGAGTGAACAGTCTTTTTATGTTTGCTCTCATGTTTTCCAAATACAGGCCTGGGGTATACCAGCAGTGCAAAACACGGAATTAATTCTTCAGATCCAAAGTATATTTCGATTTCTTTTCCACATACTTGCAACATGAGTAAAAAAGATTTTCCCCAAGGCATACTCATGCAACCAGATTTCCACCCTGCGAACTGGAAAAGGCCATCTGTAAGCGAAGAGGGCTTTCCCTCAAGCCTGCGTGACTCCCAAGAGTCTGATTCCGAAAGCCTTGTTCAGGAGAGATGGTATCAGTTAGAACTCCAGCAGCGAATTCATGAAAATGAAGAGCTGGTAGAACTGTATTCTGATGAGTTGGAGAATGACAGCTTAGAAGAAGATAGCTTGGAGGAGATGAGTTTAAAAGAACAAGAAGGAGCTGCGTATGACACAAATCGATATACGAATGGAATACAGAAGAATGATGGAAGGTAAGGCATAGGATTTTAGTAGATGAGTAGAATAGTTCTGACGCTTGAAAACCTTATGCTCCTCAGAATATACATTACATATTCAAGACCAATTTATATTGCCAAAGTGCTATTAAGAGCACCTATGGACTTAGTTACACACAAAGATGTACAGTTTCATCCTGACTACATTGGTAATTATTATGCCCATTTCTCCAACACAGCCTCAACTGTTTATTGGCTAAACCACCAGTGCAGGAGAGTAAGATGGGAAAGAAAACATCCCTCACAGACCTGTATAGGCTCCCCGCGTGCTGGCTCTAGACGCTGCATACAGAGGTGAACGCTACAGGCCTATTTATGTGCCTCTAAAACAGCCAGGCAAGACGGTAGGAAGTGGTGAACAGATATGTGCTAACCCCTACTCTTAAATGTTACTGGCTAAGCTAACGGGGGAGCATTTAACTGCAGTTTCTTCTGGTAAAGGCCTGTTAAATGTAGATCCCCTCCTATTCCTGTCTACCTGATCCAGAACTGCAGTCAGTGGACAGAGTCCAATGACTGTAATGGGCTCTTCAGCAGTACGTGCTGGCTACCATCTCAAATAGGCAACCATTGCCATGTCACTGTCAGACCTTCAGATGGTGCAGCACCTCTGAGATCATGGGCTGGAGGGTTTTGGAGCTGGGCTGTGAAAAAGGACGAGAGAGAAAACAAGGACCAGTCCCAACACATCCTCTTTTCGTTCCTTACAAAAAAGACCTGTGCTGAGCAAACCAGGCCACTTCCTGTAACAAAACTTAGAGGCAAAAATTGGTGGGTTGAGTAAGTGCAGTTTTGTCCTATAGCTGTATAAATCTAAAATTAAAATTTCCAGGGTTACCATCACCTTTAAACATTCTTTAGAAAGTGTTAACTTGGTACATAAAATTTAATTTGCTGTCATACGCATAAAAGGTTTAACACTGTATAAATTGGGAATAATTCTCAAGTTTAAAGGGATTAAATTAAACCTGTAGTAATAATAATGTGCAGTTTCAATTTAATTGTCTACTTAAAATAAAATGGCAAACAAATGAAGGCTAAATGATTAATAGTATGCTTTTATTCACCTCCTCAACAGGCAAAATGGCCAGTTATTGAATATTTTATTGTGAGTGCAAATGATGTTAATTGTACTAGAAACATGCTCTAATTTTTAGTAATTTTTTTGACTGAATACTATGCTGAATGTGAGGCTCTTCATTAAATGGAAATTTGATTTTATTTTGTTTGAACTTAGCCTAGTAAGTACTCAAATACAGTCCATTAACCGGAGCAAATATCACAGCATATACATATGAAACCCCCTCTCTACATCCATTACTAACCTTGGAATTTGAAGAGGAAATGCTGCATCTGTTGTCTACATACAACACTTTTGTTGATGAGTACAGAGTCCATCTAACCTTTATATCAAGTTGGGGGGAGGAATAAAAGGTGCACTTTTTCTCTGCAGATGATTAGAGATGAAGGAGCTCTTCACACTCATTTTGTTCCCGTGTGGTGACCTGGCCTGCGTAATACAATTGAGCTGCTGTGCACACATTTCAGCACAATAGAACTCTTTAGCATTATACTCTGTTATTTGAATCATTGCAATTATATCACATATTTCTGTACTCATTTCAAAATATGGTCACCTATTTCTGTTTACCTGTGGTGTATGACAACTAGGAAGAATATTTTCACCGATGTAAATTATCTAATCACTACTATACAGGATACTATGGCACCAATGCTTATCTGAAATGAAAAGCATTGCTAGAGATTATTTTATTATTAGGAACCACTTGAAATACAGGCATAGGCATGTAACTAATTTAGAAAGGATGAATAAATGATTTGTGGAAATGTTAATATAACTAACTATGCCACGGTTTGGAGAATCCAGCAGATCGGTACATTTCTTTTAATTGAGGCTGAAGAGTCAACCAGGTTTCAGTGCCTATAAATGTCACTTTGAAAGAGTCACCATGTGTCAGTCTCCGAGAAACCAGGACTGTACTGCAGGTCCAGTTAAGATAAAACAGTGTTAAAAGCTTTTTTCTCCCACGCTCCTTACTCCTGCTACTGCCTGCACATCTCCTGGTAGCCAATTTTTATGTATTTGGCTCCTGTACTTGGTTTTCCTCCTGTTGGATCAGACCATAAATCATAAACAGAATCAGCTGTGGGTTTTATAAGGCAGACCATCTCTCTTTGCTTTATGACAAGTGTAGCTCAGAGCAACGCTTTGGGCACTTGTTGGACAAAAAAAAAAAGCCAAACCCACAAACATTTCTGATTTCTGTTTTTCTATGCTTATCTCAATTATAGGCTGTTTTTTAACAAGAAGTTACTTTAAGTCTTTTATAGAGAGTTTTTTATTGAAACATGATGTTTCAAAGGAATGAGAAGAGAGAATAAAAATACAGAGCTGTAGGCTGTTCTTGCTTAGAACAGTCACTTCTACTGACATTTGAGAGAGCGATTTTACCAGGAGCATCACTTTTCGTTCACACAGCAGTCTTTCAAGAATGAGCAACATACTGTCTTTTGTAGGCTGCATCATTTTAAAGGAAACAGCAGGAGCAGTATGTTACAATAATTTCATCTTTTAGTTGATTCTACTAGTGCTGATGATTTCTATGCTAAATTTAGGATAAAGACTGCATTCTACCGTGATGTGAATGTTAGACCAATTTATCATTCGCTGATAATGAAAATTAAAAATTAAGAGGAGGTCCTGCCTAAATTTTCTGCTAAAAAAATGTTTGATAAAACTGTTCTGACCCTGATCCCACAAATGGCCATACTGTATGCACTCAAATAATTCAGCTGACCGTATTTGCAGGACATTTGTTGGCTCAAATTGCACACTGAAAAAATATAGAAGTTATACAATTTATACATAAATCATTTTGTGTTTCTTTTTTAAATAGGAAAGAACAGTCTGTGGACAAATATTTCAGCCTAAGATACAATCCTAATTGGAAGAACACAGAAGAGGTAGCAGAATTTTCGGTGGCAGAAAAAGCATCTCAAATTGCTGGAGGAAGCAGCGTGGACTTTTCACAAGATTCATTTTACCTCCATTCCAATGGCTCCCCAGAAGAAAAGAATCAACAGAAGGCAGAGTCACAAGATTCGTTCTCAGAGTTTGGTACAGAATTACTAAACTTTCATGAACCAAGTGCAGTGATCAGCAATGAACTTTTTAGGCTGTGTATCAAAGGGAAGGAATCTTCAGATGGCTGTCATTTCAAAGATAGTCCCAGTACATGCAGCAGTGCTTTTTCTCTTCAGATTCAAGAAGATCAACCACAAAGAGCAAAAAAAGACTTTGTGGAAAAAAATAAACGGACTCTAGGATTACGTTCAGAGAAGATAAATTCCTATCTTCAATTACACAATAAAAAGCAAGAAGTTCTTCAAGAGCAGGTAGGTAACTTTTACATGTTTTCTAATTGGTATAACTGAGGACTGTCTAGTGTTAAAATGGAATTAGCTGCAGGATCAGGTTTGCAGAGGAGGTAAGTAGATTTACAATCTATTATGATTTCCAATGAGAATCTTGTTCACCCTTTATGGAATAATTATCAAGTCCTCAGTTACTCACAACACCAGTGATGGCCTTGTTACAAGCCTCGTTAAGCTACTTATATTCTGGGCCATGAAGCATATCTGCATGGTCACAGAGGTGATCTCTCGCTAGCTTTTTAATCTTGATGCTAAAGAAATGCTGTCTTCCTTCCTATGGGATCTACATTGCACTTAATCAGTGGTTCTTTTTTTGCTGCCTCTGATTTTTCTGTGCTTGGCCAACAGGAGTTTGGTAATGATTATCTCTGCTAATAGCATATTCCCAGTAATGCAGGAAATGCAAATTGCTTCTAATAGCAGAACACTCACAATTTTTTAACTGCAGTAGGAAACCCTGATGTTACCGTTTGGCTTAAAAAGCTGTATTAGTGTTTTTCCACCTGCATTGATCATAACAAAAACGTATATGTGAAGTTACAATTGAATCGGAGAACCAGAAAACATGCTGTGGTCACACTGGTTTCAAGGGCCATGCAGGGTCTTGCTTATCACTGTCATTTAGGGCCACACATGTAGGAATATCCAAGAAATATGTGTCAGATTTGGGTGGTCAGACAACCCTTTACCCCTACTTGCTTTCTCAGCCAGACCAAACCTTGTATTTGAAATCAGTCAGCTGATACTAGTCATGTAGAGTACTTGGATTTGAAGGGCCTAGCTTTCTTATGATTGACTGCGACATGTCAGACAGCTTGTATTAAGGATTAAGTGGAAATGTAATTACAGTTCCTAATGAACGATTATACATGAGTTTGTTGCTTTTACTTGCTACTTATTATGCATAATGGAAAGGTGGGAGTCATTGAATCACTCCATGAGTTGTAGTATAGAAAATTCTTACCTTGCAAAACTACAGAGACTTTCTGCTTCAAGCGACACGTTTTCCAAAGCTAATGAACAGTTGACACAACACTAGAGGGCATCTGCTGACTACATTACAATGAGTGTAACGGTGGACAAGCTTTTTTCTACCAGAGCTATTAAGAGCACTTGGTTTTTTCACTTATAATTTGGTTGATGGTAAAAATAATTAGTGTAGATTGATGCTAATTAAAGCTGCGTTGATATGATTATGTTTACTATTTGGGGAATTCTGAAAATGTTTAATATGTAAATATCGAAGCCAGGGATCAGGACTTCATTGTGTAGACACTATTCAAAGATATGTAACAGAAAAAAAAATAATAATTGTTAAAATCAGGGCTATGTTCTAAGATTACCTTGCTGAAGTAGCCATGGGGACAGCAAAGCTGTGACATAGCAGGAGCCAGGCAGCATGTGTGTAGAAAGGTGTCGCTTTTCCCTCGACAAGTTCATACAGCCACAGCAGCATCACCACCTACTGTCAGCTAGCTAGCTTTGTACTTGCTGCAGATAGGCATAGGATGAAGTACTTACCTCTGCTGTTCTTAATCAAGACATCCATTGCTCCATCCTGTTGGAGGGGGTGAAAGAAGGCCTGACAGAAGCATCTTGCTGACCAGAGCTGGCCCATAAGCCAACTTTGGTCACCTCACCTGGAAAACTGTATCAAAAGTGCAAAACCACCAAGTATACAAAGAAGCAAACAAGACACTTGCCTTCTGCTTTGGCAATCTAACATGTTCCAAATACTGTTTTTTTCCTAAACTGGATTACTTTGAGCTTTGCAGGATGTTGAAGCTGTTTTTATTGATATGATCACTGTTGGCTGTCAGGCACTGTGGTAGTGAAATAATATTTACATTGAAGTAAGTACTTTGTGTAGGGCTTTTTTGAACTGACGTAACAATGGGTAAAATATTTTCAGCCTCGTTCTTGGAGATTTACAGCTGTTATCTCTGTGCATACAGAACAGCAGGCTGTATGTACCAAAACATACCCTAAATGTGTGTTGATCTGTATATTTACTAATTTATACAGCATTTTATAAAGCATCAAGTTCTTTGCCGTGTTGTCTGATTCTTTAAGAACCTGATGATGAGTTTCATTGAAAGAGAGAGAGAGAAAGAGAGAGAAGTAGTGGCCCAATCTACCTCAGCTGTACTCAATATGAGTTGCTTTCCTACCTACAAGCCCCTTACTTCAAAGCAAGGAACATAATGTACAATTTTTTAATGGCTCTAGACCAAGGCACTCAGACTCTCTGTGCACTGCGCCTTACCTCAGTGTAAACACCTAATCAAGATTGCCTGCGCTTCAACAATAGCAGCCAAATGCAATTCGAGAACCACAAGCCTTTGAAGTCCTCACTGCAAAGGCCGGTTTTCTAGTCTGGGATAATGACATGCCATGATTGCTGTCTTTGTTGTATCTTTTCAGTAGAGAAGCAATTATGGGCCTCAATTTAACAGAATAGGCATTACACAGCTTATGATGCTCAAAATGCAATTTCATTTGATCATTTTCTCAATTTGATTGGTATTAATAGAATAGTTCACAAAAAATGCTGGCAGAGGTTGTGTCCTGTTCCTCTTTCAAAGAGATAATGTAGAAGTATGCTTTACCTGCCCAGTAAACTATCAATACAGTGAGTCAGTTGGTTCCACCAAAAACATCTTACTGACTGCAAAGCTGTATCCATCCACAGTTCAGGAAACCTGTGCGGTAACTTTTAAATTCGTGAAGTTTTCTAGTCACAGTAGAATCTGCATCACCATTTGGAGCAATGAGATCACCTGAAAACTCAGCAATAGACCCTACCTACCTTTTCCTAGTTGTCCTCATCTCTCACCACTAAAGAAGAGAGGCTCAGCTCCCCAGAAGGATTTAACACTTCCTTCGCACTGATTTCACCGCTATGATTTTCAGTTAATATTTCTCTTGTTCACAAATACTTCTCCGTGCAAGTTCTCTGTCACTCTGCAGCAGTGCATAGGTACTTCTAGCACAAGCATGAGTCCAGCATGTAGTTAGCTGTAGTCTCTACAGTGAGGCTGCCTAACTGCACGCTTAATTGAGGTGACGCCTGCTATAGTACTCAGCAGGATAGTTTGGGACAACACAAGTATAAATAAAAAATAAAAAAACACTGTTTTTCATGAAGTTTTATAGATTGGAAAAAATTCTGATGCTTTCAAGAAAATTTTTTATTATTGCCATGTATATATATGAGGATATCTCGTGGCTTCAAAGCCCGCAGTGCCAGCAGCCATCCTCAAAAAATTTCTCAGATTTGATCTCCAGTCATCATGCTACCACAGCAGTGGCCATGTAAAGATGTTCTTGTTTGTGGGATTGCTATTTTGCACAAGCTGTTTGATATTGTTCCAGGCTACGTATGTTAGATGTTTTATTTCTACAGCTACTCCTTGTACTTTTCTACCAACATTACTATGTTTTGCCATCTTTTTCTGCATGACTCTATTGTTCAAGACCTTGCTATGGTGTGTGTCATCCATCAATATCTTGGTACACTGGCTTATTGCTTAGACAATGATGATTGTCTAGTTGCTTTTCCATTATTAGGTTACATCCACTGGCTCTCAAATAAATGAAGAAGCCCAGACAGTTGAGTTACAAGTAGATTTCTGTGCTGTATACTTCCTGCAATTTTCTTTTCCTCTCTTCTTAAAAGTAGAAGGTTTACTCCCTACTACCACACCACTGCTAAATGGTTTTTTGCTTCCTTTTTCATTTTCTCTTTTAGCTGTTCATTTTCTTGTTATCCATTATACAATGCCTAACTTTAGCATTTTAGCTTTAATAGGAGGCAATTTATTTCTCATTATTTCCCCAAGACTTTTAAATCCTTCCATCTGTTTGGGCTGTGGTCATAAACATTTTTGGTTTTTAGGTTACAGATCCTAAAACTGTTGATGAGGAACCAGTACAGAGTGTCCTGCTGCTCCAGACTGTGAAAATGGAGCCTGAAGACAAATGGTACCTGAAAGCACAGCAGCTCAAGGTTCCTTTTTGATAGAACATGATAATTGAAATATATGTGTAAAAGTATTCAAGTTTGAATATTTAAAGCTGTAATCTCGTTACTTTTAAAGTAGCAATTACTGACAATAAATCCTTAGATATATATCAGTAGATAATCACCAAAATTTAATGCATATGCCACTTTATATACTGAATGATTTTAAATCAAAATAGATCCCAAATCCCAAGAAATTCTGAGCTTAAAGAATCTTATCTATTTAGGACATTGTTTGGTTGATATTAACGTAAAAGCACAAACTAGTACATGGTCATGTTTGATGGTTCATGAGGATTCTGAGCTAGAACTTTACTGTTGCATTACTTGTCCCCTAAAATTCCCAGAACATCAAGGGGTTACCATAAAACAGAAAATGCTACAAGTAGAAAAAAGTTCACTGACGTCCTCCCTACACATTAATCTACAGATCTGTTTTATGCTGGCCTTTCAAACTGATGCAATGGGATAGTCTTTGACCAATAAAAGAGACCAGGTTATCATTACTGCTGAAAAAACAAGAACTTCAGAACCAGAACTTCAAGCCATCTGGAATTATTGGCAAACCAGTAGAAATAGTTACTCTCTTTGTATTACAAGTATTTGAAGTAATTCAGGTAGACTGTTTAAATTCCCTGCTGTTCACTTAAGACTGGAAGCTGCACTTCTGTAAAGGGCAAACAAGATTTTATGCTGCCGTTCATTGTGAGAGATGTGCTTTATATACGGAATTTCAGAATGAAGGAGGTATTTTACAGGGCTGCTCATTCCATTTAAATGGGAAAACATTGGCCTAGTCCCAGTTTGGCAGCAGTTCATGCTTTCCACCAGTGGCACAGTATGCCACAACATTAATTGTTACAGCAGAGGTCGAGCTAACAAATCATCATCTTGGCACCAGGAGTCAGGATTCCCCAGTGCTAAAGCTTTCGCCAAAACATTCTGCTCTATATGTGGATTTAATACCAACCATTAAGTAGTTATTCTGAGTGCATATGCTATGTAGTGATTGCAAGTGTTTCTAACAAAAGAACCCTAGAGAGACAGGAGGATGAAATGGAGGATTTTAGCGCTGACAAAGATTAAATGGACTGAGAATGGATTTGTATATTCCCTAGAAGGAAAGCCATGTCTTACCTCAAAATGGGCAACATCTGATGCTGTAATTGGAAAGTGATAAATCTTAAATAAACTCCAGATCTAGAGTATGTCTGTTTAGCTCAAGACAGTAGTCCTGGTGTGCTTAAATTCTCAAGTTATTTCTTATCATTTGGATAATGTTTTGCAGGATACAGGGCAGGGAGGAGTGCTGGGTTTAGAAATTAAATCATTTAAATCATTGACAACAGTCTATTTCTACTATGGACCAGTCTAATAGTGTGTACATAGCCATCTTTTCCTGAAATGTAGTGCAGTTTACTTTCTTCAGATGATAAAACCCAAGAACTGATTTGATTTTTGAAACATTTTCCCCAGACGGTTAGCAGTGAGCTACCACTTGTCTACAGGATTAGAAACAAGTAGTCCTGTGCGTTTAATTAAGGGCACCTATTTTTGCACCTCATTTAGATAAAACTCCCTTATTCCATATTTACCACAGCATCGTTTCTTAGATATGCTCTGCATCTGTAAGGAACCATTTTTATAGTGTTCTGCTTTGGAATTTGTCTCAGGCTGTTAAGCAAAGTTTTGATGCAGTATTATGCATTGTCTGTGCAGCACCTGAATAGCATCTGTGCTTCTGCTCAGGACTAGGGGTTCCTACATTTTTTAATTTTGGATTAAGTCTAGCCAGGCCATCACCTGGTCTAGCCACAAGCATAATTTACTGAGTCAGGGTTAGATACAAGCAGCACAGAATAATTTAGAGGGGTCTAATTGAACTTGTGTGAACTGGCCCAACTCATTATCAGTACATTAAAGAACTGTTATCATAGCCATGAAGGTCCAATACCGTATCTAGGTCTCTTTAAGGGCCCTTCTATTAGGACGTGGTTTGTTAGTTCAAAAACCCTAAAGCCTTACAAATGCCACAAAGGCAGACTGTTCTCCATACCATACTAGACTTCAGGACGCAGATGCTTTTCCTTTACTTCACTCTCTGCTGAGAGCTCACTTTTAAAACCAATTTCCATCACGATACTCATCCACCCCTATAAAACATTGCTATAACCCTTTTCTAGTTGTGAGTGTACATTAAACAGGGGTGGCTGGCTCCATACATCCCTGATTTTTAAAAGGACAGGTGATTATGCACTCGAGCCCATTCAGACCTGTTCAAGGCACCCACATCAACCCTTGTTCAAAGTTCAGTACATGTTCAGAACTCAACTTCACGGTAGCCTGCCAAGCTATTTAAGGGCTGTCTAAAATAAAAATGTTGTCCTGAATTAGAATTATAGAACATGATGTAATCTAGTCAAAACATCAGTTAATCAGTTAATTTGTAGAATACATGAAAGGCAGGCAATTGTGACAGGCAAACTTACCCATACACATGTATATAGTTGATCTTAATGAGCATATAGAATAGCAGCCACTGAAATTTCACCCCACTTTTGATAACTTGTTTTAGGATCACCAAAATAAGTCCTCCCAGAGAAATAAAATAAAATCCAACCAGAGTCTCAAAAGGAGAGCTTTCCCAAGGAATGACAGCCAACAACCACCAGGAAGACCAGCAGAACCAAAGGCTGGGCACCACAGGCACCACGAAATATCAAAATTTCAGACTGCTCCCATACAGGCAGTGGAGCAAGACAACAGCAGCGCAGAAATGCAGAAATGGCTGCATCCGGGTCCTTCAGTTTGCCCTGACACTAATACAGCAGCAAATTCAGATACTTGCTTAAATAATTTCCCAAATTCAAGACATTTTTGTAATCAGGATTTTACCGCATCTACCTATCCTTTTCATTCAACATTACATAAATTTAACTCAGCAGAAGTTGTATCTCCAGCATATGCCAGCAAGGAGAACAAGAAATATCAGCATGATTCTCCAAATGGACTTCCACGCGACCAGCAACGTTTATACAACCATGTCACCACGCAGCTTTTTGCAAGAGAAAACAGTACCAATGGTCAAGCACATCTAAATCAGAGGAACAGTTCATCCGCTTTTAATGCCAATTTTCAAGAATTGGTGAAGGATCAAGTATCACTTCAGGATTGCAAAAGACACATTTATGCAGATAAAAGTTATCAGAACTCTGCTATCAGTAGTTTATGGTAAGGATGTAAGTGTTGAAACAGTATTATCATAACACTATGGTGCCCAGAAAAAATAGAAATGGACAAGAAAATGTTTTAAAGTCCAAAGTATAAAATTATTTTACTACAAACCTGCCAGTATAGATTACTACTAACTTAAGATTCATTATAACTATTGATTTTTAAATATGGTATTGGAAAAGGACAGTTCTGTACTCCAGGCTCTCTTGCATGTAGAATCTTCCACAATCAAAACTTTCCTTCTGAAAGGCTAGAAGGTGAAGTTTAAAAAATAGGTAGCAAAGACCACAGTGCATAAACTAAGTCTACTGCTAGCTGCATAGAGTTATATCAAAATTTGCCTTGCAGGGTGAATATCCAGAGTCATTCCAGTGCCGATTCTGGCTCACTACACATGGGGAAGGGCGTGAAAATCCTTTGTTATGTAGAATTTTACCTGCCTTGATAAAAATGAAGGTTTTATTTCCCATAGGCAATTAATTCTTTCAGTATTCAGCAGGCCCAATCTGAAGCCATTTAAAGGCAGTTTTCATTGGCTTAAGCTAGCTTTGCATCAGGCTGAAAGTTTCGCCATCTATAATTTTTCCGTTTATTTTAAACAGTTTCCATACATTTGGGTACAAGCAAAGTCAGTCATTGTGAAATACCCATCTTTCCATTTCACGTTCCCAGTATATTCTGCGAGCAAGGATCATTCCATGTACAGATTGTTTCTTGAGCTGTCTGCTATATACAAAGAAAGATTCTTATTTTCCCTCCTTTTTCCTTTTTGAGGCCTTCTCGTTCTTCTGTTCACAGTTCACCAACAGCCCCTTGTACAACCTTCCAATTTACACAAACGATGGAGCGACATCACCAAGAAATCACTCGTTTGACAGAAGCTCATTTAGCTGACAGCCATGTGTTCAGCCTACTCCCACCTATAATCCCACAGGTACAAAGTGGTTCAGAGGTAGATCCAGAGAGCAGTGAAGGAAATCAAGTGAAAATAAGTCGCAGCAACTCAGAAGGATATCTCATGCAAATGGAAAAGCAAAAACAGTCTAAAGTCAGCAAGAAGGTAAGAAAATAGATGTGGATTGGATGGTTTTATATTTGTTTCCCCCTCTGATTAATATTTTTTTCTATATAATCCAAAGATCTTCACCAAAAAAAAAAAAAAAAAGGAATGGGGACTGGGAAATATTTTGTTGTTACAGAGACACTCTGACTTGCCCAGAGCATTAAAAGCCAAGGAGCAAAGGTGGAAACAGACACTAAAATCATTTTAGTCTAAAGAGTAAGGTGGTTCACCACCACCTCTCCCTATGTCACTTTCAGTCTTGATTAGCTCTAAGAACACACAGAGCAGTGTTTGTCCTTTAAGTTATCCGGTGATAAAATGATTTAGAATAAAGCTATTTGTATAAAGCAGCAGGTAGCCAGGCCTCAGATCTGAGCAAACCATTATCCTGGTCATGCTCATTTGCTATCCAACTCAAATCTCTTGGTTTCCAAGGGAATCAAACTGCACAAGAACAAACTTAGAGGATTTGTAAAGCTAACGGCATAAACATTATTACAAGTCTCCTGATGATCCCATTTTGGTCCTCATTAAAATTTGGTTCTGTTTGTCTTTTCTGTGTCTCCAGTTTTTCATACTGTAACCAGTTAACACAGATGCAGTGGAACAGCATAGAGATATCCCTGTGTGTCCATGACAAATGAAATGTTTAAGAAGTTAGCCTCAAGTCTCAGGGCAGACAAACTAAGCTGGAATAATTACTCATGTGTTTCATCTAGAAGGCAGTTTGTGTATTGCTGCTTGAATGCGTCTAAGAAGAATTAGCTGGATTATGATAGTAACTGAAGGGCAGATTTCCTTCCCTTTCTGTTCCCCTGAGTTCAAACCATTGTTTCTGTCCTATATTTTCAGTAGCTTTCTCACGTTTCATATGTGAGGAATGCCACAGAGAATAAGACTGTTTACGTCTCACAGTAAAATCTAGCTTTTCCTAATAAACAAATGCAGTCATACTCATCGCATGAAGTGAGAAAACCCTGGTTTTGTTGTAGACAGCTAAATGATTAACTCTTCACAGTACCTTAATCTAAAAGTTAGGTGTAAGTATATCACAAAAGAATAGGGATAGCTGACAAGGAAACATCAAATAGAAAATTCAATGCATAGAATTAGTTTCTCTGCAGTTGAGTTAAACTTGAACGTGCCCGTCGATAAAATGCGCATTTCATTTACATACAGAAATTTCTTGGTATTTCTGCGTTACTCTGTGATTGAAATTACTACAGAGCTGATCACAGTGAGTTTCCACTGATAAGTTGTTAAAATGTAGTCCACTTCAAAAAATTAATCTAGTGTTCTTGAAAGAAATTTAAAATATTCTGGAAATATTGGGGCCTTTGTAGTAATGTCATAAAGTATTGAAATGACATCACCCATCGCTTATCTTCTGTCTTCCCTATGCACTTGTTCAGCTTTTGCTGTGCTGCAAGGCATGTATTTTTCAACCGTCTGCGCAAAATTTTCCATTGTAGTTTTGAGAATGAAGACAGTTTACTATTACTAATAACATTTGCCTAATTTTTTTACCACCAAAATCAGGTGCTTTTATCTGCTTCTCTTATAACAGTTTCTTTGGTGTTTCATCCTAATAACAGTCAAATGGGACACTTTAAGCTGTTTAGAAATAAAGCCCACAAAAGATCATTTTTGACTGAGAAAGTATTGCTTTGTGATTTGGATGATTGGCAATTACCCACCCAGATTCCAAGGAAATACAGTCTAATGTGACTTGTGCAATTAACTCGATCTTTTTGGTTACTCACAATCCTTAAAATGAGACATGCCAGGTAAGACTGAGACTGCAAGTTGAATCCCGCTCTTATCTTGGGTGTCTGCTACAAGAATTGCTTTAGTTATGCTTTCCATGAAATCGTATAAAGGAAAATCTGTCACTGCTGTTTGTTTTTCAGTCACATAGCTCAAAAGCCTACATAAATCTGAATGTGAAGCTTGGAGGCCTTGGACCTGACTATGAAGCAATCAAAGAGAAAGTAAGCAGTCCTTATTATAACGTCTACTTTTCAGTTGTGCAAAGTGAACTTAGGCAGGGGAGAATGGCAAAGAAATCACTGCTGAGAAGCAACTTATGTTGATCTGGTGCTTTTTGTCCTTGACTCTAGGTCTAGCCTGAGATTCTAAGGGAAGACTGAAATAGAAGGAAAGACAACTGTATTGTGGATAATTTTAACCCTCTAATTTTGTAGTTCCAGAAACAGGGAGTAGTTCATATAATTCAACAGGGCTAATTGCAGATCGGTAAATGTGCACTCATGTGACTGAGTTGCATTGTCATTCCCAGAGTAGAAGGTTTGTCTAACCTCCAAAGTGGAAGTAAAAGAAGAAGCGATGTAAACACAAGAAGAAAATAGCTGGATGCACTTTACCCTGTTCAAATGGAGACAGATTGTTCAGAACAAGTATCTGAACAATTGGTATCTTTTGACCTGTTCTCTGCTGATAAGGAGGGGCTGGCAGCAGGTGTCTATCTAAGGTGCTGCAAACTCCATCTTACGTGCTTTGAGACCCTATTAATCTGCCAACAGGTGCTTTATATGGGATTCTTTACAGAAACATTGAAGGACAGCAGGGAGGAAAACTGGTAAAATTATCATCCTTTGGAGTCTTTGAGAAGCCCCTGTATTTTCTTCCTCCTTGCCATAAATGAAACAGATTAGAGACCTGAAACTGGAATGGACAGAGTGGTGCGTAGCCCAGGACTCTGCATTTTGAACACCATCATAACACTTCTGGAACCTGGCATACCACTGGGGTATTGTTGCATTGAAAAGAAATAATTGACATTGGCTGATAACAGGAGCAAGGTAGAGCATACTGCTGAATTTGAGCATAATGAATTGCTAGAAATATAAAGACACAGAATATCAGTACATCAGTAAGTACAGAGGTTTTAAAAGTCATTGCAAAAGCTGAAAGAAATTAGCACAGCCATTTTAGAACTGAACAGATATATTGAAACATTCAGAATAAAGAGGCATCTGTCACATATCTGTTGAGCTCTATCCTCGATACAGTCCAAGAAAAAGCTCTTAAAAATGAAGAGTGACTAAAAAAGCTGTGCCATTTATCAGGATTTCCTGTTGTGTTCTGCTGAGGAATGATCAATAGCATAGCCAGGTTCAACAACAACAGAGGTGTAAATGGAAGACTCCGGTGGAAAAAGTGTTTCATTGATGGATCCACTGAGACATTTAATCAACCACACATTTTTTCCTTTGGTCAGAAAGAGAAGTTAAAGCAACAAAAGGAATATGCAAAGCAAATTCAGGAACACAATATGAAAAGCATTGCTTCGGTTCAGAGGTCACCTACAAAACCCCAGGTCTTATCTTCAGTGTCAAGACAGAAGGTAAGAGCAGAGTCCCTGTAAAATGCTTGCAGGGAGAGATTCTGGACTTCGCACAACGAAAAAGCATAAATTTAACTCACAGTAGGCTAAAATAGTTTCTCCATTTTTATTTTCCTTTTAACAACTCTAAGGACTTCTACTCTCATGGGATCCTGGCAAGTGCACATCCGTGCGTCTATTCTGTTATGGCTGTAGATGTATGCCAAAAGTTGCTGATTTCTTTGCGAACGGCAGTCTTCAGTCTGTGCATCTGCCGTGCTCTTCCTGAGAGTCTACCAAGTGGAAATGGAGCAGTCCTCCCTCCAAGCTACCAGCACTTGACTTGGCTTAAACAGCTAGTGACGTTTTCCTGGGGAAAGGGTGGGAATAAAGGAGAGTGGGACCCCCCTAGGAACATTGCCCGGTGCAGCACATGCTTCACATCAGCGGTAGAGGCCACACTACTGCAGAGTGCACTCTTCTAATGGACCACAGATATCCTCTTGTTAGTCTATTATTCACCTGCCTGTCAGTCTCACTCACAAACTCTTTTCACTTCAGTTGCATAGCTACAGTAATTGGTCTTATTTTTCAAGCCCATACAACATCACTTTAGCCTTCACTGGCCTTCAAAAATAGCCCAAATGAGCAACGACTGACTACTTGACAGTGGCATACATAAACAAACAAAGGGAGCACCTTTTCCCTATTGCAGGAAGTAATAAAGCTCTGGAAATAGCATATATTTTATCCAATCAGTTCTGCAGGAGCTCACCTGCCTGGTGCTGAAAGCATGCTAACAGGTATTTCTCGGAGGTGATGAATGAGAACCGCATGCTCCAGGAAAAAAGTTTTGGAGTTTAATATCAGTTGAATTCTTCAGTTACTTGCCTTTATTCCCAAACCTCACATAAACCACAAAGAGATCAAACTGCATTCTTTGTATGTCAAAAGGGTTTTGGATTCCTTCAGAAGACTTCCCA